CACATCGATTTGTGAAAGCTTTCCTTTAGAGGTGAAGATGTATTTAGCGTTTAAACTACAAACGTGAGCTTCACTTTGTGTCGACACACGGTGACATGACATCTGCGGTCCATTTAACTTAGCTCAAGAAAACTCCTTTAAAGCTTGAAAAATTCATAGAGCGGAAAAGGCAAATGAAAAGACCGATGGAGATTACAAAAAAGATTTCTGCATAGTCATTATCACTAGTGTAATTGAACAGGCTCAATATTAACGAGTCTGTAACATGTTTAATTGTCCCCCGCCTTTTCGAAGAAAAAATGGGGAAATAAATATAGGCTTCGTCCGTCTGTCCGATTGTCCGTCACACTTTCGTGTCCGGTCCACAACTTTTTTCATTTATCAAAGGAATTTGAAATAACTTGGCACAAATGTTTGTTATAATAAGACGTGTGTCATATGATACAACCAGACCCATAACTCCAGGGTCAAGGTCATACTTGCTCATTCAAGGTCAACATTGTCTATTTGAGGGTATATGTCATGTCCGGTCCATTTCTTTCTTATCTTTGAAGGGATTTTTTAAATACTTTCTACATTTGTTCACAATAATAAGACGACGTGTCATACGCAACAAACGGTCACCTACGTCCAAGGTCAAGGTCACACTTGGAGGTCAAGGATTAACATAGCTTGTTATAGGGATTATTTTGTGTCCTGTCCATAACTGTTTCATAGATCAAAAGTTTTTGAAAATACTTGGCACAAATAGTTACATTAATAAGACAATGTGTCATGCGCAACACCTACATCCCTACCTCCACGGTCAAGGTCACACTAAGTGGTCAAAACTCCACATAGTCTGTTATAGGGTTATTTTATGGCAGGTCTATCATTCTTCATTGATCAATGGATTTTGAAAATATTTGGCACAAATAGTCACAACAATATAGTTACACTTATCATTACCAGGGTCAAAAGACAAAAATCATTAAAAAAAACATCTTACGAGAAACTATATGGGCAATTTCGTCATGAAGTCATCAAATCTGGGATAATACCAAACAACCATCTTGGAGAAATCGTAAAATTTTGAAATTACAATTTAAAAAATTTTTAATTTTTAAAACCCCCACTTCTTTAAAAAAAAATTTTTAAAAAAATTTAAACTTTTTTGGGGAAACCCCACAACAAGGCCCAAAAATTTTATCTTTCAGTAAAAATTAGGAGGGGCAAAACTAACTTTAAAATTTTTTCCCGCAAAATACGCCGATGGGTCTTTAAAATATTTGGGCATTCCAGTCATAAAATCAGAATTTTTAAACATTAAAAAATTAAATTGTACCCATATATACTTGTAGAAGGGTTTTGATAGTTGGGTTTTAACCAAAATTTTTAAAAAAATTTTTTAAAAAAGTAAAAAACATTTTCTTAGGGAAAATTTCCCAAATCGAAGCAGATCATTTAATTTTACTTTCAACTTGACAAAAAAAAAAGGAAAAAAAGGATTTCATTTAAAAAAGTACTTATCGACAAAACGGAACCCTTTGATTTTGTGTAAAAAATTTTAAAGAAAGAAAATCAAAAAGAGTAGCAACACTGGGCATAGTGACAAAAAACCCCTGAAAATTTCGGGGGAAACCACACGGTTTTTGGATAAGCACCAAAATTTTTACTTTTTTGGGGGCAAAATTTCCCAAAAAATTTTAAAAAGAACAAACCCCCAAGGGGTTTTTATCCCAATGGGCATGTAAAGATGCCAACTGGCAAAGGGAACAAATAATCCTGTTAACTTTCACTAAAATCCCCAAGCGTTTATGGTAATGAATCGCGGACAATCTCATTTACTTAAAAATTGACCATAAAGGGGCCATTACTGTGTCACAAAAATCCCCCACCGGTTTTGGCGATAAAGCACGGAAAATATTATTGGACGGATGTACAGGCGGAAGGATGGAAAATGGGATTAATATAGGGGGCATAACAAAACGTACAATTCATTCAACTTTTAATTTGCAGTGGTGAGAAGTGTGGGGTCCACATTCTTTTGAGTGATCTAGATAATTTAGGAACATATTCAACCAAAATAAGTTCAAATGAAAATAATCATCAAGTAGGAATGCAATTATTTCAAAAGGCGCAAGTTAATATCCTGTAAAGTGTCAATGGTGGATGTAGTATTTAAGTAATCTACATAGACGAGTCGGTAACAAGATATATTGGACCATAAATATGTTCACTCCTTAGAAACGAAACTAAAATTTGCATATCTGTTTACATAACGCCATATAACAGCGTTACCGCATAAACGTGGTTAATTTCGTTTGTACGGTGATTTTCAAATAAGCAAACAAAAAACAACAGACAACCACGTTTATGATGCAACACGCAATGAATGAAGCAAAAAAATGCTGATAACGAGCTCAATTGGCATTTTTGCTCATAAAGGATTAACTACAGCTACTTATTAGAAAGCTAAACAGTTGATTAAAAATAGTTCGAATAAGGATAGTGATGACGACTTTAATGATAGTTATGATAAAAGAAGTGGCGGTGCTGGTGGAAAAAAATTATAATGGTGCTGAAATGATGATGATGGTGGTGCTTCTTGTGATGTAGGTATTTGTGGACGTTATGATGAAAGTGTTATCAATAATAATGGTTATTGTGGTTATGATGATGATAATGTGGTAGATATGCTAAAAGTGTTGATAATTATAGTGATTGTGGTTGTAGGAAGGATGATTGAGGGTTGTAGTCATTGTAGATGTGGTAATAATTATCATAATTGTGGTTATGATGATGGTGGTGGTAGTGATGATAACAATTGTAGTTAAAGTGTTGATGATGATGGTGATGATGATGATAAAAGGGTGGTATGGTAATTACGATAATAGTTGTTTACGAGGAGGTAGCGATAAGGGCGTAGCATATCACTGTCATAAAAATCATTGAAATATTTATATTTGAAAGTTGAGTCATATATAGTAATTATGGGAAATTTTATTACCTTGGATTCATACTCATAAGTTTTAGATAAATCAACTTTGAGCAATGGATTCGGAATGAGATGCAAATTGTGTAATGCACAACTCAAGTGTTTTCACTGTCAACACCCCACCAGAACCGCTTTCCTGCCCAAATGACCTTTATCTCCTTATTTTCATAGTTAATTCACTGCTATTGCTCTGAGGTGGGAGAGTTGGTCACAAATAACTAGGGCATAAAACACACGATCAATGAAAAACGATACGGCCATGTAAACCATATATATGTCATTTTGTCCACTTCTTAATCATTACAAATTCTTAAGGAAATATTCAATTTAGAACCATTTAGTCTGTTTTCCTGATACATGTAACTGTATTAGAAGAATGTATTCTAGGGGAAAGACGCTCGCTGATGATGAGAGATGTTTAGTGTTCGAACCCCGGTTCGAGCAGCCGGAAAACATTCAGTGTCTTTTTTTATGCAAACATATTTATTTCATAAATTAGCTATGATATACAAAGAAAAACAGATTTATACAGCTTTACAATTCTTAAAAAGGTTGCATTTGATAAGCTGCACATGGACACCTATTTCAGTTGTAAGAACAGATGTGTTATTCTTGATTTTTTTAAGAGAAGTTTTTTTTAACGTATTATTTTTAGCCACTTTGTTAAATGTGTAGGTCAAAATGAAAACAAAAACTAAATGTTAATGATTTTTAAAGCACACTTATTTCCTAAGCAAGCGTAAGTTAATGAAATATGACATGGTGAGTTGATATTTGATATTGTTGTGCGTTCAAGTATCATAAATTGCCGCTTTATTTTTCGGGTGAAGCGCTCTTTCAAAAACTCCTATTCGATTTTCCTGCTACTGGTTGTATTTCAAGATGCCTTCCGAATTTTCTTCTGGTCTATGAAAAAAAGTATTTTCTATTTCCTTTTTTTTTTTGCAATTCGTCTGTGTTTTTATGTTTGCACCAGATGTTGGCCCTTCTTATCTACAGCAGATACATGGAAAAACACTCAATGAGCATTATGATTATTTTGCACGTCGTTTATATACAACAGGTGACAGTAAGTTTCTGAACTGTCCCCTAAACAGTAATGCTGCACTTAATATATTGAGCACAAAAGTATTTTTCTGGCATCATTTTGTTTATTGGCGTCACATTTGACGTCATATGACGAGTAAGCATTACTTTCTCATTCTGTGCATATCACGTGTAATAATTCACTTGACTGTCTTACTGTTTGATAGGGGAATATTTTGAAGCGTGTTAGATTTGATATTTTAACATTCTTATTCTTAATATAATAGTCAATGAAGTTCAACATATTTTTATCAATTGTCTTTCTTATTTGAATTTTAGAATAAAATAGATATTATTTTTTTGTGCATTATAATATAACAATGCACGGCGTTTGTTCAAATGCTTTGTAATTAATCACACAGGCCTATCGGCCTTCATGATTATATTCCTACGCATATAAACTAGAACCGTGCATTATTCTACAACAATTCTACCAAAATTGATATCCACTTCTTAAACAATATAAAAGACGAACTAGAGTTCTATAATCATAAGACTGCATGCTTTTAACTGTATAAAGAAATGCAAATTATACTGTTATTCACAAAATAGTCACAAAAATGAAAACATTAAAATCAACAACAATTTTTGCAATTATAGTTGATCAGTTGTTAATGTTCGTTGATCAATAACTTTTCGCCTTTTCAAAACTGCATTTTATGCAAGCTATGACATTATTTCATTAGAAATTGCAAAAATATATTTTGTTTTAATTTCTCAATTTGACGTTTTTAAGTTTTTTTTTTTTTTTTTTTTTTCGTTTTATTAAAGAATAGTTCAGTATTTTATCGACCGATTGAAACTCGGAGCCTAGTTAATTTATTTCATGTTCTCAAAGTCATAAATATCATTTGTCAGAATAAGTTTATTTTAACTATATGCAAATATTATTCTGCAAATGACTTCAATATATTATAATGAAGTTTTTGATCTGCAGTACCAATACAGAGCGTTGCGATGACTGATCCAACAAGCAATTTAGTTACAGTAAAGGAAAACAATGAGAAGATATTTGTTTGTAGGACATCAGGAGGTCTTCCAGAAGCTACAGTTAGATGGTATAAAGACCAAGGAACAACAACAACTGATGATGACATAGAGATTACAAGGTTTGGGACAACAACAAAAACTACAACTGATGGCCTGATATCAGTAACAAGTACACTCCAGTATTCACCTAGAAAAGAAGATAATGGTAGAAAGATATACTGTACAGCTAGAAATTCTGCTAATACTCTTACGTCTAGCAAAAAACCTCAGCTAAATGTACAATGTAAGTACATGTTACTATATATTTTCCTCCTATAGATGGATAATAATGTGAAAAACGTAATATCTACTTAAAAACGAACAGATCTCCATAAAGTGAAGTTTTGAAAGATCTTTTTATTCTATGTCAAAGTTGTTAAATCGCTTTTCTGCATCGTCATGAATTGTTAAGTAAAAGCAGTTATATTTCAACAATATTCTTCGTTTAATCTTTTTCCTATAATTTTCCATGATACTGATTTGATGCCTTGAACATTTTCCATTTTTTTCAATATTGGAGGAATTCCAAGAAGACAAATAAAGTCTTACATTTACTCATGATATATGAAACAATAAAAAAGGATCAAATTAAATAAATTGTTTCAACACTGTATTTTTACTTTTTTGATATGCTTCTTAAATTGGTCTTTTGACAGGTATCTGTTGTATACCTCTGAACTCATAACGATTAAGACGGTGTATATGGCATGAACAGTAGCTGTCATTTTCCAGAACTGTCCATGACAAGGCTCAATCAAACCGATTCTCCAACATTTTGCCGTTTTGTACTTTCTTATGGAATTCAACTTCTCTTTATTTGACTTCGGGATACAATTACTCAAGTACGTGGAATGACGTTATTCCATTGCTTTTACGAAAATAACTTACATAAAACATCTTTATGTTTGGGATAAAAATGAGTTCTTAGATTTATAAAATGTGACCAATAAGCTTAACAAAATGAACGCCAGGTTAAAGTTCCTTTACCGTAAGAAAGATTTCCTTACACAGCATACCAACAAACTGCTTGTCAATTCATTAATTCAGTGCCACTTTGACTATGCCTGCTGTGTCTGGTATAATGGTTTAACTCAGGTCTTGAAAAATAAATTACAGACAACACAAAATAAAATGATGAGATTTGTTCTAAACCTTTGATTCCAGAGTTCATATTGGCCCTTCCCATTTTAAATCCCTTTAATTGGTTACCAGTTTGTAAAAGAGTTGAACAAAAATCATGTTATGTCACGTTTTTAAGGTTAAAAACCAAATTCCCGCCCCAGAAGTACTTTAAGTGATTATTTTTGTTTCTTCAGGAATCTATGCATTCTTATTGCACCAGGTTAAAGGTTCCGGGTCAAAAGTCTTTCAGTTTTTTGGTGCTAAACTATGGAACAGTCTTCCAACCTGCATAAACTGAAATTAACAAAATTTCATCGTTTTAAGGTAGCCATCAAAAGATCACTTTTTAAGTAGCACTCTAAGTGTCTTTCTCTTAAAATTTCTTTGAAAGAAAATTTTATGTTTTCATTTTTTTAGTTGAATTTTTTTCGGCTCAGGTTTTTCTGTTTCATTTTTGATATTTGTTTTAATTTTTTTTTATTAAGACTTTAAAAACTTTATCTTTTTTTGAATAGTGTAATCTATGGCATGTTCTTTCCTTACATACTCATAACAACTGTGATATTTTTTTTTAATGTAATCCTTTCTTACTATGCAACATACTTATTTCTTAATGTGATAATGACTTTTTATTTACAATACCTTCATCTTAAATGTGATGATTTTTAAATGATATATTCATTAATGTGATTTATCTTATAATTTGTGATATTTTTTTTTGCTTTTATGAAATACCTCTCTTATGTCATGCCACCAAAATGCTAAGGACCACAATGGAAATAAGAGCTTGCTCTATTTTGTGTTATCCTTGGTTTTGGGAACATGTCATGGTTTACATAATATAGTATTTATTCATTATTTATTTATTTATTTATTTATTTATTTATTTATTTGTAATTGTTTTAAATCTATATTGTGTTTGTTTATCATGTAACATGTTTACCTTTATGCCGAAATCTATCTATCTATCTATCTATCTATCTATCTATCTATCTATCTATCTATCTATCTATCTATCTATCTATCTATCTATCTATCTATCTATCTATCTATCTATCTATCTATCTATCTATCTATCTATCTATCTATCTATCTATCTATCTATCTATCTATCTATCTATCTATCTATCTATCTATCTATCTATCTATCTATCTATCTATCTATCTATCTATCTATCTATCTATCTATCTATCTATCTATCTATCTATCTATCTATCTATCTATCTATCTATCTATCTATCTATCTATCTATCTATCTATCTATCTATCTATCTATCTATCTATCTATCTATCTATCTATCTATCTATCTATCTATCTATCTATCTATCTATCTATCTATCTATCTATCTATCTATCTATCTATCTATCTATCTATCTATCTATCTATCTATCTATCTATCTATCTATCTATCTATCTATCTATCTATCTATCTATCTATCTATCTATCTATCTATCTATCTATCTATCTATCTATCTATCTATCTATCTATCTATCTATCTATCTATCTATCTATCTATCTATCTATCTATCTATCTATCTATCTATCTATCTATCTATCTATCTATCTATCTATCTATCTATCTATCTATCTATCTATCTATCTATCTATCTATCTATCTATCTATCTATCTATCTATCTATCTATCTATCTATCTATCTATCTATCTATCTATCTATCTATCTATCTATCTATCTATCTATCTATCTATCTATCTATCTATCTATCTATCTATCTATCTATCTATCTATCTATCTATCTATCTATCTATCTATCTATCTATCTATCTATCTATCTATCTATCTATCTATCTATCTATCTTTCTATCTATCTATCTATCTATCTATCTATCTATCTATCTATCTATCTATCTATCTATCTATCTATCTATCTATCTATCTATCTATCTATCTATCTATCTATCTATCTATCTATCTATCTATCTATCTATCTATCTAACGTAGCTTCATATTACTGAAAAGAAACTATCGGCTTATTCAAATGGTAATATAAAAAAATGTCTGAACATGCCCCAAAATAATATAAGTATGCAAAAAATCATATTTAAGACAGGGAATAACCAGAAACCGATCAATTGTAATAAGCGTTTAAATCATTGTCCACTTAAGTGATTTAATCGACGAATATCAATCGCTTCACCCTAATAGTTTTATTTCGATTTCAATCCAGGATTAACAAATAACTTTGCGAATATAACTTCGTATAAATCATAAAACAAGCTTCTAAATTCTTTAGAATCTTTTTTTCCATATTGAAGAGTTACTCTTTGATCATTCAAATAACACTATTCTTGTTTAATAAATAAATGAAACACTTTTTTCAATAGCCTGTCTTTCGGAATTATCACCTTTTATTTCATGCTGAATAATGAAATTAAAATGCATAATTACTTTTATTGTTTTTATTTTCTGTTTTTTACATGTTTTCATACATCTTTACAAAAGTACTCCCTTTGTTTCATTGTTTAAAACATTTTCTTTCATGTTGTTTTTTTTTCTATAAGGGCCTGTCATGAATATGCGAATATTGCTATTGTATTAGACAATTACTCATATGGTGTATGTAGAAGTTCTCCTTAGTTAATAACAAGATCAATTGATTTATTCTGATTCGACTGATTTATCTCTGCTCAAATATATTGAGGCACACATGCCGTGAATAGTTCCATTTAAATCTACAACAAAAATATTCAAATAACACTCACATAGAAAGCATTTTTGAATTTGTATAACATTCCTTTCTCACCATCCAGTTTTTTTAATATTTTTTTTTCTATCAGTGGTAAAACTGATAAATTCATTCATTGTGTAAGACACAAGTTGACGTGTCTGAAAACACATCAATAATCAAAATTGAAGGTGTCCCCGACCACCAGTCTGGCTTTGCCCTGGGTCTTTATCATACCCTCCTCCGTACCACTTTGTAAATAGGTTTACTTGTTTGATGTTGTCTGTCAGTCATGACGTCTGGTTGTCTAGCAGTCTGGTTTGCTGGCCGCCGTCCGTTTGCTTTTTCACCCTTAAACTGCTTTTGATTCCGCTTCAAATGAATAATAATTGCGTATATCGTAAGGAATTCGACCTTGACCTGTAAATGACCTTGACCTTCTAGATAAGTTGCTTATATTTTGCTTAAAAATGATTTTATTCGCTATTATTTGTTATTAATAAATTTAATAAAATCATTCTTGGACATAACAACCCTTTTTACAATATATATTTAAGAGGGTTAAACTGAACTTGAAGTTACACTTTAAATGACCTTGACCTTAAAGTAAATGTATGAAATTTTGTAACAATAGGTGAAATTTTTATTATTGATCCGCGCCCTCAGGCGCTGAGCTATTTGTGGTTACTTTTTTGCATCCATGGACAAGACTTTTATCAATTAATCCCTTCGATTTACAGCTTAATAAATTCAAAATCAGGAATTCCTTCCAATTTCTATTATGAAAAGTCATACATTGGTTTCTCCTTCGGTGTTTCGCAGCATGTTTTATCAATGAAAAAGCCAGGGGAAAATTTCACGCTTCCTCCACTTGGAAGAAAATATAAAAGACAAAACAAAAAAAAACTCAAATTCGGTTATTTATTTCTAACATTTGTATCTTCTACAAGAAATTATTAACTATTTTGTAGTATACAGTGGGTAATTATGTATTTTATTGCTTTACATGAATTTGAAAGCTATTAAAGGAATGATGATATAAACATTGTGAAAGTTTGTAAATCTATTTATGAGTCGTTTTAGTTTAACGAAATGGTTATATAATAATAAATAACGAACTGGAGAATTTTGCACTCTTTATAAAATTATAGAAAAAATTTAAGTAGGCATTTTTTAAGAATTGTTATATCAATGTATTATCATTTTTAAATTGTCTTTTCCGTAGTTTCTTTCTGGGATTTGTACGGCCCTGATTGTACTTAAATATTTAAATCGACCTAATTATGGCATCCATAACTTAATATGTCGCTTTATATGACGTTTTACGACAGTAAACAGTTCGAGCAGTGATATAATTTTACCTACAGAGCAGTATGTAAGAATTAATTATTGAATTGAGCTAACATTGGCTAAAACTTTGTTATTGTATGGC